TATAAGACACTTCACCCAAGATACACTGCCTCATTCTTGGATGCCTTGCTACCCCAAATAAAATTGGGTCCTATTTCTAGGGAAGATACTAATATGTATCTCTAGATTGGCAACTGATATGTATACATATGACACTAATATGTATCTCTAGATTGGCAACTGATAATCACTGCTTCAAATTCTCAACAGATTTGAAAATTAGTACTCTAGTCAACTTAGCTAACAATGATTAATGAATATTCTACCATAAATTGTTATGTAGTAGAATCAAATAATATGAAGACTAATACTAACTAGTACTAATTGAACACTTATGATTTTTCAGGTAGTGACCTAAAAGCTTTGCATGACTAATGTAATTTATCCTCACCCAAACACTATGAAGTAGGTTTTATTATTAGCCTCATTTACCTGAGAAGAAAATAGGCACAGAGAGGCTTAATAGCTTGTCCAAGATTACACAGCTACTAATTTGTAGAAGTCAGAGCCTCAGATAGCCATCAGTCTACACAGCCTTACTTATTCCCAAATTACACACATTTTTCTTATGACAAGCACTGCAAAAGTTTTGAGCGTTTTTATATAGTTATAACTAAGGCAGAGCAAATTTATTGCTTTTCTAGGCACCAGCTATTTGCTGCCTTTGCAACCTTCATTTTGAAACCACAAAAGAGGCAAAATTGTAATTTATCTTGATAGAAAAAATTCCCCTAGGAAAAACTGACAACCTTGTAGAGTTATTAAGATATTTCCATGTCAAAATACTTTTTATCCCACCAAAACTGCTTTTTGTAGCAAAGTCCCTAAGGTGAATCTGCCAAAGTTACTTAGGTTTGTAACGCATGCTTTCTTACCACTTCCATACTTGTAAAATCTTTTTTCACAGCATATGAAGATGGACCTGAATATAGCAGAATCGGATGTTACTGAAAAGCTCAATGGATTCAGTCCACTGTGGCTATTAAATGAGTTTTATAAGAGAACATAGGAAAGTGCAATTCCATTACCACTCACATGGCAGCCTTCACAGTTGCAGTAGATGGAACCCAATAAATATTTTTGTTACATCAAGTCTGTATGACTCATTACATATAACATAAGAAAGCCTTTCAATCTTGGATATTTTTCTCTGTCACTAAAAACTTTGTGTGATCTTGGGGAAACTGTAACTTCTTGAGCCTCAGGATAATCATTTATACAATGTAGATTTTGGTAAATTAGCTCCAAGTTTTCTTCAATTTCCATAATTCTGTGTTTCAGTGACCTTCCCTTAAGTAATTTTATATTCTACAATGATCTGTACACCATCTTAGAGTAGTAAGGGCTCAGTGCTTATTGGATTGTTGGAGGGGTGGATGTTTGGGAGAACAAATGAGTACAGATGGATGGAGACATTAATATGTATGTGAACAAAGTAGTTTTTCCACCCCAGAAAAAAAATTATATTAACCTATAGCCTTTAAATTTTATCCCTTAACAAGTAACTTCCTTAAAAATCAGCTTTACGTCTTAAACTTTTATTATGAAAACTATTAAACACAGTAAAAAAAAATAGTACAATAAATATCCACATACCCATCACCCAACTCAAAAGAATTAACTTGCTGCCACTTTTTATTTTAGATACACCTACCAACATTTTTGCATTAAAATAAAGAAAATCTCAGGTATATCATTGACTCATAAATAAAAATTAAAATAAGCCACTGTGATGATAAAGTCTGCTTTCTATTCTACTACAGAAAATGAAATATTTTACCCAATTAAGTTGCTGATAGTTCACCTAATATTTTGTGTTTATTTTTGCATGTACTTAGAATCTTAATGTTTAAAAAAATCCTTGAAAACCAAAACTTTTACACAGCATTTGTTTTTTTCAGATGGTTATTAGATGGGTAAGAATATTTAGCCTCTAAATTGTATCAGGTCTATACATAAACCATTCAGTTACTGCATAAGCAGAAAGTAAGACTGATAGTGATTTAGGAGAGGAAAGTGGAACAAATCCCTGAATCAAATCTCTATGACATTTTTTTACTTGATTTAAATTCCAGGCCCTAACCATAACTATATACAATTAAGTTCCACATCCAACTTATATGCATGCACACACACAAAAAAAAACCCCTTTAAGCTGACTATAAAATTCAAATTTGTCTGCTCTTTGCAATTGTCCATATTTCAGCTCCTATTTATCACTAAGGAAAATAAAAAAATTAACTAAACTTTCTATGTCTACAATTTTTTTTCTTTTTCAGCTCCTTTATATCCTTCTCCATCCATCCTTTTGTAGGATGCTTTTACTTGCAGTCCCAAATTTTGGTTCATATTAGCTAACCATTGAAAGCATCTCTATGTTTCCAATAAATTCCATCATTTTTTAATTGATTTATAAACAGTTTTTTAAATTTACTCCTGTATTTCTCCCTGAACATATGAGAATGAGCACAATTTTTATAAAATTAAATGGACTTTAATTTACATATTATTGTAGATCAAACTTCCTGGTCCACCCTATATTATATCCCCATTCCTAAGCAGACTATCTTCAACATTTCTTCAAGAAACGCTTCTCAAAAATGCTAGTTTTCTTTAGCAACCTGTTAAATAAATGAGGAAAAGGAGAAGGAAAGTTTCATTTGAAATGGATTAATTCCACCTGTATCAAAAGTAGAATCAAATGAGAAGGTCAAAATTATAAAGTATTTAGCAGATAATACAGGATAGTATCTCCATGACCTCACTGTAGAATTTTTAGATAAGACCCCAAGTTATGAACCATAAACAAAAAGATTAATAAATTTGCCAAATGAAAATTAAGAATCGTTCATTAACAGAACATCAAAACACAGGTAACGCAATGGAGGAAGATGGTTGCTAGACGAGTTCTAAGACTTAGTATTCAGAAAAAAAAAACCAAAAACACATAATTAGTAAAAACAATCCAAACACCCCCAAAGAAAGATGGGCAAAAGACACACACAAGAACACTTAAAAAGTGGAATTCTAAGTGACTTAAACACTTGAACTAGGGTTTTACCTCACTACTCATCAGGGAAATAATAATTTTGTTTACAAACTGGAACTCTGATAAACTGCTGGTAGGGGTGTAAATTGATAAATCCAGTTTGGAAGATAGTTCACTATATATAGTAATAATGTTAAACATAAGCATTTTCTATGACCCTTCAATTTCATTCCTAAGCATTTGCCTTAGAGACATTTGTATATGTGTGTGCTAGGATACACATATATATGTATACTTATACACTGTGTAAATGTTCAGAGCAACATTTATGTTTCTAGTTCAAACTGGAAACAATCTAAATGTCTACTAACAGGTGCATAGATAAACCTACATGGTGATGAAAATGAAACAACTCTCTCTAAATGCAACATCATAGATAATCTTACAAACACAATACTGAACTAATACAACAACATACAAAAATATATATATATTATACATAGTATACATCTATAGTATAATTTCAAACATTATACATATTTAGTATAATTATACATATATAGTATAATTTCATTTACATAAAGTTCAAAAATAGGAAAAATGGCCCACTTTGGGTTCAGCTGCTATAACATTCCATTTCTTGACCTGGAGTGGTGATTATCTAATTTACTTAATAACTACTTGCTAAATTGTGTATTTGTTTTATGCTCTCTTTAGTACGCATGTCTTATTTACAGTAGAAATTGTAAGTTGACCTGAGAGTCTCCAAAATATGCTATTCCTTAAGTAATGATATCCATATGAGGTTAAGAGTCTTAGCATTTTTAATTTAAAACTTTAATTTTTTTTTGTTTCTTACTATGTTAACATACAGAATGGCACAAAGGAGACAAGATTAAACAATGCTAAATGCTTTGTCATATTTTCTTCCGATTGATCCGTTTAAAAAGAAATATTTTAAATGCCGCTAAAGTTACTCTCATCCATTTATCTTTGCTCCCTCATTTGAAGGAACTAGTTTTTAATGGAAGAACATAATTAGCCTGAATTTTATTAAATATGTACACACAACATATATTTGTAACTATAAATATTTAAAACTTTTCTTAAAATGCATATAAACTGTAACATACAGCTACGTTTTGCAACTAGATCATTTCAAAATTATCTTTTTATTTTTTATGTATTTTAATGAATGTTCTAGGTTATTTTTTCCTTTTTGACTGCCACGTTCTATTGTATTAATAGAATACAGTGTATTAATCCATTCCCTTATTGAGGAACAAATCATTTTATTCTACTTGTTCGCTATGACAAAGAATGAAGCATCAAAAATTTCCTATATATATATCTCTTTGTATACCTGGATGAGAATGTCTTGAGTAGAATATTTTTTTAAAAAATACAGGCAACATTAAAACAAAAATTAAATAACTCATAATTTTATCAATAGAAATAATTGCTTTAACTATCTTTATATATCTCACTCTTTTCCTACAGACACAATGAAATTGAAAAATTGTGTAGCACATATACACCTATGGTGGGGTTTTATGTCCTGCTTTTTACTTATGATGAATAACTTCACATACCATAGAATATCCTTCAAAAACATGTCCACCAATGGCTACATGCTGTTCTCTTGTACAAATGGACTATGATTTAATGGACTATGATTTATACAATCGTTTCTCATTGTTGTATGTAGCTGTTTTCAGTTATTCTGTTCTCCCTCCGGTTTCTGATACTAGCCAATCTAGTTTCCTTTTAGTTCTTTACACATACCTACTACTCCTTTCATGCATCACTGCCAGAAATGAACTTAATGTTTGTGTCTCCCCAAAATCCATATGTTGAAACCTAATTCTCAGTGTGATGGTGTTAGGCGGTGGGGCCTTTGAGAAGTGACTAGCTCATGACAGTGGGGTCCTCATGAATGGGATTAGTGCCCTTACAAAGGAGGTTGCAGAGAGCTGCCTAATTACCCCTTTTACCAGGTGAGTACACAGCAAGAAAAAGGACAGAAGCCTACCTTTGAAGATGCAGGTTTTCTCCAGACACTGAAATCTGCTGGCGCCTTGATTTTGGACTTCCCAGGCTGCCAAACTATGAGAAATAAATGCTGATTACTTATAAGTCATACACCTATGGTGTTTTTGTTACAGCAGCACAAATGGACTAAGACACAGCCTCTGCACGTGTAGTTCACTCTGCTCTTTCCTACAGTTTTTACGTGACAGATTTTCTTCTCATTACTGAGATCTCAATGTTACTATCCCTTGACCAAGGAGGCATTCTCTACTAGCTCCTTCTAGATTATTATTTTCTTTTTCATGCACTTATTTGACCAAATAATATCTATCAGACAGTGTAGCTATTTCTTTATACATCTTTATCTCTCCATGAGGGCAAGGATATGGCTGTTCTTCATCACCTTCAGTGTTGAAAAAGTTACATACCACACAATTATAAGAAGTAAATTCACATTGTAGTCATAGATTTGTACATTTATTACAATGATGTTCCAGCAGATGGCCATAAAGTATCTTGAAAAAGGGGATTCCTTTTTAAATTTCAGTCAGTGTTAGCTTTGGGCTACTCAAAAATTATTAAGTGAATGAATGAACTCATTATAACTTATTGATTATCTCCAACACCAATGTTTTTTACGTTTTCTATTCTAGAATTCTTCATGTTGCCCTGGTGTTTACCACACTAGATGAGTCCAGGGAGTACAAGCATAAGTCCTTTGTGACACTTGATTTGAGGGTAGTAATTTGACATCTACAGAGAATGAATGAAACATCATGTATTTTTGACACTGAAAAATTTAAATCCTAAACAACCACAAACATTTAATAACTTTGTAAAAATAATTTAAATAAATAGGTGAGTAACATGTGGTAAAGTAATCTTAAGAATTCTGTATTGCTTTCAAAAGGCTGAGAGTACACTGTGCTTTTTTGAAGGGATTATTTTCATACTAATTATCTAAAAATTAATTTTTACCTTTTGCCAAAAAAAATCTAAGATTCGTTAATATTGAAATCACAAATGCTTCTAGTTCTGAGACTACTATGCCCTAACACTTTTGTAGACCACAAGAATCTACTCCATTTTCATTAAAACAAACATCATGTTATGCTTGTAAAGTCAAGAATAATGAAAGTATATTTGGCACATTAAAATAAGCCTCCTCTACGTCTGACAATATGAAAAAATGAACCTTGGCAGCTGCATTTCAGCTACGAGAGAAACTTTCTGACAGCTTTCCTCTTTGTTGCTCATAAGAAGATGACTTAAATGAATTAATGTCAGGTGGATTAGTAAGATTCTGTTCAAACTGACAGAAGACCATGTCTGTACAGCTACTTTAAAATCCCAACATTAGTCTGAAGAGCAGAAGAATTTCACATATTTGAGACTGAGTTTTTGAATACCAAATATATTTTTTAGAAAAATTCATTACTTTTAATTTGAGGAGAGGAGGTTTCAATTCAGTCAAATATAGTGCTAGGGCTATCTGATAAAACTGGATTGTAGGTTATGTACTAGTTGTATTCTCACCTTATAGTCTCAATTTATTTGGACCAAATGAAATTAAATAGCAGCAGTCAGTATCTAATAAAAAATTTGGTTACCTGAAGTCATATAGCTAGTTAATTTTAGAGTCAGAACTATAAAATTTGGCTAGGTACTAGTACAAAATTTTATTTATTTCAGTGCATTTACAACAGCCAATGGGCACCAAAGGACAAATAATATACCAATAGATATGGAGTAATTATAGTTATTAATTTTCAAATAATTATATTTAACAATTTGTGTGATGGTATTTACATCCAATCTTTAGGATTTCTATGTGACATTTAACTTAAGCAGTTTTAGGAAGTCATGTGACATGATTAGAGCTACATATGATATATTGAGCTGCAGTGCATATAACAAATTAGAATGAGAGCAGATGGAAAATAGGAAACCAATTTGAGTCTATTATAATAGTCCAAAATAAGATAACTGAGGAAAAACTATAGTGACTAAGAATAGGAATTGATAAATCACTGTATCTAGCAAATAATAAATAATGTTCAAATGAAAGGATTTCCCAGAGTATGAGGAACAGAAAACATGAAGTACTAGGTTAAAGAGTGGATAGAAAGTGGGAAAATTAAATTGGTGACCCTGAAATACTGTCCAAGACTTTCAAAAAATTAAATGACAGTGAAAAATAGTAAAATATATGAAAGGTAGAGGAAAGTTTGTGTAAATTCTTATATAGAATGATTGTTGGCAGGTTAGTAGAACAAGAACTTGACAAGACAAAGAAAAGTGGATAGATGACAGTGCATGTCACTTGGAAAGGAAAGGTTATTCCCCTCTATCTAAGCTATAAAAATGACAATGAAAAAAATAAACAAGATAAATACTAGTGCAACTAATATGGAGAGAAAGGAGCTCAGATGATTCAAAGGCTAGTGGCTTTTGCCTTCTCTGAGAAAGAAAAGGAAGGAATCCGTGAGGTAACAAAAAATAGAAATAGAAAAAAGGAATTGAAGAGAGCAAAAATAATTTAAAACATTGATACATATTAGGCGCTTCCTTCTCAACTTGATGTCGTATATCACACCACAATCAGTAACATTTTCTGTAGATATAGCTCCTCATATATGAAGAACAATGACTGTGGAAGAGACTCAAAGATAGCCTCCAATAATGCTCCCCTCTGGGTATTCACACTCTGTGTAATACTCTCCCTTTTGTGAGTGGGCAGGACTTGTGACTTGTTTCTAATGAATACAACTAAGGTGATGAGATAGCTCTTCCATGATTATGTTACATAAGACTTCCATCATTCTAATAATCTCTTTCTCCTGCTAGCATTAATGAAGCAAGCTGCCGTGTAGTAAGGCTGTCCTATGGAGAAGTATATTTGTTTAAAAACTAAGGATGGACTATCTCTCTTAGCTCATCAATTATATATCTTTAAGTATTACTTTAGTGGTTATTCCAAACTTCACCATAGACATCTTTAGCTAATCTAAGTCCACCTTCAAATAACACTATTGTGTTCAATGTGTACTGCAGGTACCTAACTGAGTGTCTCAATTCCTCCCTTCCATCTCTTTTGATGTTGTCATTCATTTCACTTATTCATATACGATAATCAACCAATACACTGTTACTGTTATCACTTTTAGTAAGTTGTTTTTAGATCAATTATAAATAAAAATTTTCTCATCCTTATTTCTTTCCTGATGCCTTCCTTCTTTATGTAGATTTGAGCTTCTGATATATCATTTTCCTTCTCCCTGACGAACCTCTTAACATCTCTCCCAATGCAGTTCTGTTGGAGATGAATTCATTTAGTTTATGACCCTCTGAAAGGTCTTTATTCCTCCTTCCATCCTGAAGGATAATTTCAGAAGACACAGTACTCTAGGTTAGTAATATTTTTTTCTTTCAACACATTAAGTATTTTATTCCGCCGGACGCGGTGGCTGACACCTGTAATCCCAGCACTTTCGGAGGCCGAGGCAGGTGGATCACGAGGTCAGGAGATCGAGACCATCCTAGCTAACACGGTGAAACCCCGTCTCTACTAAAAATATAAAAAATTAGCCAGGCGTGGTGGCAGGCGCCTGTAGTCCCAGCTACTCGGGAGGCTGAGGCAGGAGAATGGCCAAAATGCAACCGCGCCAGAAGGGAAAGCCGGAGCTTGCCAGTGAGCCGAGATCGAGACCACTGCACTCCAGCCTGGGTGACAAGCAGAGACCCGTCCTCAAAAAAAAAAAAAAAAAAAAATTTCCACTCTTAGCTCTTGCGTGATTCTCCAAAAAGCAGTCTAAATATTAATCCCTTTTTTTTCTAAAATTTAATTTTATATTATAATAACTTTAAGAGTTTCCTAGGTACATGGTGCATAACATGCAGGTTGTTACATATATATACTTGTGCATGTAGCCTGGTGCTGGCACCCATCCAACTCGTCAAGCACCTCATCAAACTCATCATTTACAATCAGTATACACTCCCATGCCACCGTCCCCATCCACCTCCCCATGGGATAGCCCACCCCGGTGATGGTGAATGTTCCCCCTCTTGCCGAGTCCAAGTGATTACAGTGTTCAGGTCCCACCTATGATGAGAAATGGCCGTGTTTTGGTTTTCTGTTCCTGTGGACCAGTTTGCTGGAGAATGATGGTTTCCAGCATGCATCCCAATGCCCTACAAGGGACCAACAAACTCATCCTTTTATAATAGCCCCTGCATAGTATTCATGGTGTAATGTGGCCAACATTTCTTAATCCAGTTTTGTCACTGAGTGGAACAATTTGCGTGATTTCCCAAGTCTTTGCATTGTGAATAGTGCCGCCAAATAACCCATACGTGTGGCAATAGCTTCTTTATAGCAGCAATGATTATAATCCCCCTTTTGGGATATAAATCCCACCAGATAAATGGAAACTGCTGTCATAAGGGTACATCTCTTCTAGATCACTTGGGAGGAATCGCCCATACTGGTTTTCCATAATGGTTGACTAGTTTACCATCCCACCAACACAGTGGTAAAAGTTGTTCCTATTTCTCCTCACATCCCTCTCCAGCACCCCTTTGTTTTCCTGAATTTTTTAATGAATCCGCCATCGTCGCCACTAACATGGTGTGAGATGGTATCCTCATTGTGGTTGTTGAATTTGCATTGTCTCCTGCATGGCCGAGTGGATGATGAACATTTTTCATCGGTGTCCTGTGGCCTTGTATGAATGTGCTTACTTTGAGAAATGGTCTGGTTCATACTCGCTTTTGCCCTCACTTTTTTGATGGGGTTTATTTTTCCCTTTTGTAAATTTGTTTGTAAAAAACTTGTATTTTAGAATCAGCGGGTATATATGCAGGTTTGTTACAAAGGTATATTGTGTATGGAGCAATATACTGAGGTGTGGAGTCCTAATGAATCCATTATTCACGCAGTAAGTATAATACCCAATAAGTAGTTTTTCAGCCTTTGCCTACCTCCCTCTCACCACCTTGTGTTTTCCTCAATATCTATTGTTCCCATCTTTATGTCCATGTGTACCCAATGTTCAGCTCCCACTTTTAAGTAA